TTTCGAGCGTCTTGAGCGAAAAGGAAAGTTTAAATGTCGATCCAGCGTTCTGGGCGGAGTCATAAAAACGGTAGCTTCTCTCCCAAAGCGCACTGGACGCTCAAAACGCCTGGGACGTTCGAAAAGCTCAAAACGCTGGATTTATAGCTTTCCGCTTCCTTTTTTGCTCGAAACCCTCAAAGCGCTGACGATATGTATGAACACAGGATGAGATCAGGCGAAATGATTCGTCTCCTAGTGGTGGCGTGCTGCACGCGCTCCACGATGGATTGAATGAGTCCAACGCTGCTCAAACCTTGTGTTATTGAAATACATGAAGTTAATCTCTCATTTATATTCGAATCTCAGTCATGGGATCATCACCGCTAGCCCCATCCGTCACGTTGACTGTTTCATTTCAGATGCTGGAGCAACTGGCTCGGCAGCTTGATGTAGAGGTATTGGTGACTGGCCATTCTCATGAGTGCAGTGTCAAAGAGAAAGGCGGACGTTTCTACGTGAATCCAGGCAGCGCCACTGGCGCATTTTCAGTTACGCATGAAGGGTGCGTCCTTTTATTCTGGCTGACTTTGTCAATTCTTCCAGAAGCATTCACCCTCCTTTTCTCCCCAGAGATTAGCCGCGCACGCTTTCTTAGGACACGATTGTGATCTTATCGCGTCGCATGATGTCAGAAGAGTGGTGCGTGTAGTACTCTCAAATACATTCTTTTCATTTCTCTTCATTTTTACGCACAAAATTTTGATAAGTTCTTGTTGAAATGAAGCGCGAGATAACTCCTCTCGTTTCTCATATTACTCTTCATTGGCCTTCGAAGTCGAACTACTTGATCTCACTCTCCAGCACAGCCTCTCTAGTCGTGTCGGTTTTCTGCTCCTATCTGCGTTCTCTCGTCCACACAGCACTTTATGTATAACCACTGTGACCTCACATTTTTCAACATTTTCAATAATAATCTCCCTCCCACAGTCTCTATATCTTGAAGAAACCCGTTCCGGCTTTGCCGTATGTTCTTTCTCGCATTTCCATGGGCCTGAATTAGGGCACCTACCGCCATTACTGAGGATTTTCGCAAAATACACCCCTCCCACTCTTTCGTCTCTCTTCTCTCTCTCTCTCTCTCCTCTCTCTCTCCTCTCCGGTCCTCTGCCTCTCTCTCATCATGACGGCCTCCAGCCCCTTCCTCCATCTGCCCATCTTACTTACCAACTGCCCTAATTAATTCCCCAAACTTTCTTTAACCCTCTCCACTTTTGCCAAGTCTTTTTGTTCGAAAACCTTTCGGCTTCCCCTTGCCTTCCCAAAAGAAGGGAAAGCCTGCGCCGTCCGACCAGGGGTTGGGAGTTGGTTGGCACAACGCACTTGAAACAGCGAAAATCAGAAAAGGCGACAACTGAAAACATTTTTTCTCTAGAGCAAAAAGCTCCCCTTCCAGTGGGGATCAGTTACGTACTTTCCTCGCCCTAATACCTTTGAGGAAGGGCGTTTAAAAGAGTCCTGTAAAGTTCATACTAACGTCATCAAAATAGGAATTGCTGTATTTCGAATCCGCCTGTTCACGCTTGTGTCCCCACTCCTCACCCCCCCCCCCTCATGCAGAAGACCGCCATCTCCCATTTATTCCGGAATTCTTAAAGGTGTCCCTTTTGCTCCCTTTCTCCAAACGTCTTGAATACCAACGCAGCTCTGGCTCGTGCGCGCATATTAGAAGGGATAAAGTTTGAATAATCACGATCATACTGAGGCCCTGTGTGCCTTGGGAGGGACCATTCTCCTCTATAACGCTTTACGACTGGTCGTCTACACCGCCTCAACAATTCAGCGTGACACTTTCTGATGTTGGCCGGGCTATGACACAACATGCCTCGCTTTGTCGGTGATATGGTCCAGACGGCTGAACATGTAGCTCAGCTTCGCTGGAGTGTGCCCCTCCCCCTAAGACACATGGCGTCCGCCCTTAAAATGACCATCATCGAAAGCGGTTCCATATTACCACAATCTACTTTTATCTCCAACTAAAACTAGCTCGTTGATTTGGCCAATTTTCGTTCATAACGGTATGCCGCGGATATGTGTAATTGCGGAGCAGAGCCTTGTCAATCTTTTTTTTGTGCAACGCTCAAGCGTTGCGAAGTGAACGCCCACATTTTGGCATTTTCCAAAGTTCGTTTCTAGTTTTCACTTCTCATTCACTAGGTTATGTGTCTCGCGTTTTTTTTTCGTCGCTCAGAGCCAGTTCGATTTCTTTCTACTCTCCACTTGCTACGCTGAGTTTTGTGTGTAGTCGTTCTTCCTTGTCATGTCCATGATCACAAGGCGTTAATCATTTTTTGGCCTGCAGTCGCTAAACTACACGGTGTCATTACCAAAGTATGTTTACTGTAGTCAGTTGACTTTCAGTAACCGTGGCCTAGTGTCAGGCTGTTTAGTTAGAACATTTGGGTTCTAGGAGGGCTTTACAGTAGGGTTTTAACCTCTGCTCGGTTGATGTTAGTACGAGGTGACGTTTTCCAGTCCGGTTATCGCCTCATTTGCATTATTGGATGTGCAAGCAGATTGTGTGGTCACGTATATGTATCGATTGATTGATGATCAAGTCAAAGTTGATCGGACGATTTTCAAGAAACCGCACGATTAATTCATCTATTGTATTGGTTACCAGTTTATTCGGAAGTTGTGATATTTATTTACTTTGTCCTATGCGTAATAACTGAACCCATAATGAGCTCTCGGGAGAGTTTGTTATCGGCACCTCTGAATTGTCTATCATAGCGAGCGCTTCAAGTTTTTACCCTTCTAGCGATATAACCAAGAAATGCTGGCTCGATAGATTTATGTTCCTACTCTGCATGTTTCATCACTTTACATTCCATGTGCTCTGAT